TAACAATACTGGTCTTTCCCATATTTAGGTGGGAGAAATAACATTTGTTTTTCAGAATGCTGTGAGTCGTAGCACTGTCGATAAGACATATGTTGTCATCGGCTCCAAAATATTTGGCATCTATATCTTTGCAAGAAGGTAAATATAATAAAAGACATGTATTAGTAACATAATCAAAATAAACTTATATTATAGGGGGTAATACAAAAAGGGGGACATAAAACATCAAAATAACAAAAGAGATACAACAATATTTTATTATTTAACATCATCAACTATATCAAGCAGATCATCGACATCCAGGTGCATGATATTTTCATTCATCACATCGTCAAATGTGTCATCGTGGGCAGCGTGATTTGTTTCAGGGGCAATTCTTCCATGTCTTTCTTTTGAGGCCCGATACAGTTCAGCCAAGTGACTAGTTGTGCGAGAAACATGGACCCAATGACCTTTGATTTCACACCGGGTGCATTCGTCGTCATTGTTTCTGTTTCTCCCAGTGTTGAACCTCTGTTGAGGTCTATACGGCCTTCTGTTATTATAACGCCGATTTGGCACATATCGGGGCCTATTCTTATAACTATTTTGACTGTATGCATTTGTCCGGCCCCGTCTACGATTCTGATTTCGATCGCGATCAATTATTTGATTTCTGACCTGCCCACGACCACGCATTGGATTTGTCGGTTGTATTGCATTTGCCTCTGGAAATGGATTTGCACCTGTCGGCCGAGATTCGTGATTTTTCAACAACAATTCATTATTTTGTTCGGTCAGCAAAAGACAGATGATCAGCTCAGAATATTTCCGGAAGCTTCTTTCGCGATACTACTACTGCAAAACCATGTTAGAGGCATAAAAAATGGAGAAAATTTTCTCTATCATATCAGATTCAGATATATTTTTGCCACAGTGGTGCAGCTGTGATGTTATTTTAAACATGACAAAATTATATTATTGGACTGTTTTAAAGTCCTGAAGCCATAGGCTTTGCCATTCGCTTCGTGCCCTTGGCAACAATGTCAGCCTCAAGTGATCATATCTTTGTTTTCCAATCTCTCCCACAATTCAAGTAGGGATTCCAGCGTGACATACTGCATTTTCAGTGCCTTATCGATGTGATGACACGAAAAGATCATGACCTTTGCACGATCTTGGCTCGGGGAGTTTTTATCCCGGGCAATGGTATTTTCCAAGCCCATTGATGCCATATGCATTTTAACATCGCGAGCCCACGCCATATAATTTTGGCCAGAAACGAGAAGAGGAAGAAATTCCTGTTTGACAAGGTTAGACATAATAAACAGATAAAATATAAAATATTACCTTGCGGAAATTAAAATACACAATCGTGTGCTGATAACGTGTTGTGATATTAGTATAGAATTAGCCAATAAAAATATTAATTACTTCTACTGCTAACCATTATTTTATATATTATACAAATATGTATATATTAGATATATATATATATAGATGTATGTATGGCTTATATATATAATAATAATAGATAGATAGTATGTTGTGTGTTATATATATATTATATATAAGAATATATGTATATATATATATATATATGCAGTAAAGGGATGGAATCTGGTAGAGTAAATAAATGGATTGAAATTAATGTGTAGTGTGCAAATATATTTTCATTACAGCAGTGTGATATTTATAGGAAATAGGAGTCTACAACATTTAGCTACAAATTATACAATATTCAATCTACGAAGATCAAAGGTGGCAAAAGTATTGACATCCACAACTTATAACGTACATATGATGTGTATAACAATTCTATTTATACGCCCGTTTTTAATTTAATTTTTAATAAAATATAAAATCACCCGTTTAGATTCCGACCCAAGTGGATCATCTTTGCTCCAACCCGTTCCTAAAACACGTGTAACTTCATCCTAGCTCTTAATTTCACCATTTTCACCTTCTTCCTCTTCCTGCGCTGTTTCAACGTTTTACACCCAAGTTTAGTTTCTCTTAATTCCGAGTTGTTCATCCATCAATGACCATCCTCTCGAAGCTGGTTCCCATGGCTCTGGTCCAATGTATGTCCCGAAGCTTGGAAAATGTAACTCAAATACGTCTTCAATTTCTAGGTTCTTTTGCTCTTGAATTTTGTGTTTACTATTTGGTCGTAAGGGTTTAACTTTGTGCGAACATGAACATTTCCATTCACATTAGAATTTTTTTTGGTGTTCGATTTGATTTGATTTTGAAATACATATATGAACAAGAGTAATTAAAGGTGATTGTTATAGATCTGTTTGTTGATTACTCTTTACATGGTAAAATTGTTAATACACTCACACCTATCTATACATGTTCGTTTTTTAGGAATAGAGGAGTAGAGGGATGCTTGGAGAATATGTTGTTGGCTCTGCATTTGCTTTCTCAAGTTATTTGATCTGTATCAAGAATATTTGCAGCAATATACTGATATATATAGTCCTAAGGTTGTCTTGATTACGTTTTTTATTTGTTTCCAGAGTATCGTGGATCTATCTTTTCTTATAGAGTTTAACTTGTCAGACAATAATATCTCCTATCTTCCACCAAAAATTGGTTAAGTCTGTAAATTTAGTTTTTGTTATTTTGAATTTCTGCCTATTTGTTTATAATTGGATGATAAATTAGAATTGAATCCAAGCTTTTGAATCTATGCCCGGGCTAAAGAAATATCGCAATTCATCAGTAGTAGCAGACTATTTATGAAATTCTCTTCCATTTATACAATAATTTGCTTTCCTTTAGTTTAATAAAGTTGAATGCTGTAAATTACTGGACAATTCATGTGCTATAGTGAATTGATATTGCCTTGTTTCACTGAAAAGCTAGAATAAATTAGCCGAGTGAAAGCAATCGGATACCGTTACCCACATGATTCTTTCTTTTCTATCATATGCCTGAGGATTAATTTATCTCGACTTATACTCTTCCAAGGTTTGCTAGAACCTAGCCTTCAACTTCAGGTGTTGTCCAAATTGTGCCAACAACCAATAGTTGCATACATTTCTGAATATGAGGGATGCTTTCTTTACATAAGACATACGCATTTTGAAATTTATAGAGAGAGGTTGTGATCAAGATGTACTGCCTAGAAACAATTATTGAAACCACATATCTTATGATAGATCATTTCAGCCTGTCTTAGGCTTAAAACATAGATCGAGGTTGTCGAGCATTGCCTTGTGTGTTTTGATAAATGGAATATTGATATGCTGATGCTACATTTACTGTGCGCCCACGCCCAGCAGTGGTAAGATGCTATATTCATGGAATTGTAACATATCTCGCTTTTTTCAACACTCATGTTTCTCGTTATTCATCAAATATAGACTAACATGTGCAAAATAAGAACCATGGGATGCTTCCTCTGTTTCAAAGCTTAAAAGATTTATTTCATGATTAAACCATCCCAATCTATTCTTTAAAATATTGTTGGTATGTTTAAGTCTATTTAATACTAAATCCCTTTGGATTGAAGCCTTTCATAGTACTAATGGTACCCTATTTTCTATAGTTGCACACTCCTAAACTGTTAGCTTGGAGTGAAGTATATCCATATTCTTATCTATCGTTAATTGGAGAATGAAGCCCACAACACTCCTGTTTTTCTCAGGTTTTTGTCTTCTGCAATTTATTTTCTTGGATATTTTAGTTTAAGACATCAAGGAAGTGCAATGTGTAGTTTCATCTTAGCTTTTTGCTCCATACACTTGATGCTACGAAGAGGATGTGCCCAAAGAGAGCCCTACTTATTGGAAATGCAATATGTAATTTCATCCTAATTGGTTAAGGTATGTGAAAGCTTTCGTCCTAAACTTTACTAGTTGTGACATCACATATGAATCAGTACATATTTTGTTTAGTCTATCCAAGAAAGGAAATTTGAAATATTTGTATGAGACATCGTACTGGTTGAACAATAGAAGAAAAATGCAATTTTTGTAATTACACCTTGATCATTTTCTTTCTCTTTCAAGTTGTTAGGTGCTATGATAGGTCACCATTAAAGATTTTAATTGTCTTCTGGATTTATCTTCATCCATTGAAATCATATCAATTGGACAATAAGAGGAAATGCAATTTATTATTATTATTATTTACAAAATATTTTAAAATGTAAATATAATTATATTTGGGGCAAAAGTTAGTGCCACATATTAAGAAAATATATGGTGTGTTTGTTTGGGGATTGGCGCATTATGTGGCGCCAATACATTTTTATTTTTATTTTATTTTGTGGCACCGATTTCCGCATCAATACATTTGTTATTTTTATTAGTTTTTTTTTGTCACCGTTGTTGGCATTACATATTTTATTATTTATTCATATTTTAATTTTTGGCTCCAACAACATATTTTATGTATTTATTTTAATTTTAGTTTTTGGCGCCGTCTTCCGTGCCAACACATTTTATTATTTATATTTTTGTTTTTGGCGCCATTTTCGGCGCCATTTTTTTTTTATTAATTTAATTTTTGTTGTGCTGCAGCCTTCGGTGAAAAATAATTTAGTTTTGGCTCGGTCATTTGATACTAAACGATTGAGACCACAAATTTGTAACGGATTGAAACCGTAACAACATTTGCGGTATTCCAACATAAATGTCGTCGTTTTGTCACTATTTCTTGGGTGCCAAATGCTTACTTTTCTATAAACACATTTTTCATAGATTAGTTTTTATTTTATTGTAATATAATAATATTTTTAAGAAAAATTTTGTTAATATTAAAAAAAATATGTTTAGGTTTATTTTATTTTTAATAAAATATACTTTCTCCGTTCCAAATCTCATGTTCACGTTGTCATTTCCATCCGTTCCACTTAATTTGTCACTTTCTATTTTTGAAAAAAAATTACACACTTTAAACATTAATTAAAAATCATAATCTAAACATAATTATACCTATTTAGTACCCCACCTACCCATATTTAAATTCATCTTAGTATTACCCACAAACCTACCCAGATACTCATATCGCGATTTGTCTTCTTTCTCTCTCCCCAATCTGGAAAACCATACCATGGAAATCGACGCCTTTGTGTGCCGATGTTGTTGCATCGCCGTGTGCCGTCGATTGTTGCTCCGACTCCGAGGGATCGACATCTTATCCCCACCGTGATTTCTCGCTGCCCTAATTGTGGGTATTCTCCAATCGAAAACCCTAAATCGCTTGACAACGCCCCCTTTTTTGGTCTTTACTCCGGCGACGGCGATTCGGTAATTTTCTTCGGCGAAAAGCTTGGTGCGTGCGAAGACAACGGTGGGTGGGTGTCAGACGCGGAAGAGCCCTTCGATCTCGACGTTAGTCCTCTGATTTGCGAAACCACACCTGCAACTGTTCCTCGTCCTCGAAGTTCGCCGGTAAAGGACGAGGGGTTGGAAGGCGGCGTTGGAGTCCCTACCAAAGTTGGCGATATTTGGTTTGTGCTTGGATTTGTCCCCGACTCAGAGGATGAAGATGAGGATCAGCACGAGTACGATGTGGAACCTACCACTTACCTATTCGGATCGTCCCTACGAACACGCCCCTTTAAAGGACGTTGGTGAGATCTAAATCATATTTTTCTCAAATTTGTGGTTGTTGGAATAAAATATGAGTATGTTGCAAGTCTTGCCTGAATAAGTTGTTAGGGCTTGATTTTGCTGTCGGTTGGCTTTGATTAGAATTATCGATGTTTCACATGCTCGTTAATGCCTTAAATGTCTTGTTATTTTCGATTCCCTTGATTTTGAACATTCCAAGTGTTCTGTCATTTTCGGATCGAATTGTGCATGTGATTTCGGATAGTGATTATTTTACATATACTCAAAGTGAATATATTTTCATTTATGAACTCAGATTTTTAAGCATGAACTCGAGTTAAAGTTGTGAAAACAAATATTTTTTGGTGGCTTGCATTTCATCATATAACATTAACATAATGTGGCTAAGTACATATTGCTTCATCATTTCATAAATCATTTTTACAAAACACTTACAAAATAATTTGCTTTGATATATTTTCACAGGTGTAGTAACATTTAGGTACTTACAAAAGTTTTATCATTCATATATTGCTATCTCTAATAACCTAGGTCATAAATAACATTTTCAATTCAATTGGCTGCCTCTTTTTCTATTATATATTGAATGCATTCATGCACTAATTACATTGAAACAGTTGGTTGATTTGGGAGATTTCCAACTCTCAACAAGCTCTATTTTTTTTTTTTTTTTTTTGCGGGAGCTTGTAAGAGTTTTCTCATTTTTACTTTCATTACTTCAATCATACAATTTTGTAAACTTAAAATTACCTTATTTAAACATTGTGGTGTCAATTCTTTGAAGCTGGAATCCACAACATCTAGTAGTTCGGTGACATTTTTGCATAAATTTTCAATTTGCAAGCTTTGAATTGCACGAAACCATCCTAGATTGTTTACGTTCGTGTTTGGAGAGTTTGGTGGTTGTTCGATAAGAACTATGTTAAAACCATCTGTATTTTCCGCACAAACAAAGTTTGCATCATCATATTTAATATGTGGTTTTGCATTGTTTTGTTGCATCAGTATGTGTTTCGAAAAATTGGGTGGCCACTTCTCTTTTATGGCTGGGATAATCTGCATATAGAAAATAGATACATAAATTGCATATATTTTGTTATTTTGAAATGCAACAATGAATTAGAGAAACCGGTTATCTTCTATTCTAATTAAGGGAATAGAAGACATCAACACTATGCTTTCTCACATTCCATATCTCTTATGTTGGCAAATAAAGTTTACCTGGTTAATTAAACACCTTTCGTAACCTGCTTTGTCACAAATTGAACTGATTTAGTCTCTAAAGTTCCGGCCACTCGATTTTTGCTTGATTTTTTTGCCGAAACTTGTTCTGTGAATGGAAAAATCCTATTTTCCCATCAAACAATAAATTCCCATATTGATCCCAAATAGAGCGTGAAACAACACACATGAACATTACTTTTGTAATGATTTTTTTGCTTTTGCAAGCTCTATGTGGATCCTGTTCCATAGGGGTCAAGTAATATTGATGTGTGACAGTTTTCATATAAAACCATTTCTCATCAATGTGTACTACATTATGCATATTTTGAAACAATGCATTTTCAATACACCTATGAAAATCTAGGGCTTGTATTGAAAAAGACAACCTTGGGAGTTTGTTAGCATCAGTCAACTCTGGCCTGATTGTACTTGCATATATGCTTATCTTTTATCCATATGTGGACAGTTGATTTCGATGTTTGTAGGCCCTTTGCCATATTTCTAATAGAAGATCTTTACATCAACGGTAAACTTTCTATTTCATTCAAATTTGGTGTCATCTTATCTTTGCGGACTACATGTTTCTTCCTATTTATACTAACAACCTGACCTTTTCAATTTGCTATTTTGCAGTTTTCCATTGTCTTCGCACTGTCCGTACGGAGTAGTTGAGTAATTTTGCTGTTTCCGTGACCCTTTCCTTGGCCAGCTCCAATTCTTCGTCGCATGTTCCGAGCAGAAACTGAATCATCTTGTTCAATTCTGCAATAGTAAGAACATTTTTTGTCATTGAGGTAAGAAATGATGTTTAGTGATTTAATGTGGCTTCATTGTGTGAAAATAAAAATGGTGTGAAAATTCATACTGATTGTTGTATTTATTGGTTTTTAATTCATGCAATATTTGACACGGATTGGAGGGAAATTTTCAGCTTGTTTTGTCATGGTTTGGAGGGAATATTTTATCCTACATTTTGACATGTTTTTATGTATTGATATATAGCATGTGTGTGTTAGATGGTAGATACGTTAGATTGTGGTATGTAAATGTATAAGTGTACTGATTTTGATTAGACTGTCACTACAAAAAAATAATATATTTGTAACGGAATTCCGTCTCTAAAGTTCACGTAGCTAACGTAATTCCATTACTAATTCCGTCTCTAATGTCATTAGTAACGGAAAAAGTAGATTTAGAGACAAAAAAGTTTTGTTACAAAAATGATTTTTTCTTGTAGTGTGTTGTCCTTTTTTTTACTTTTGGATTGCACAATGTGAGTCTCCGTAATTTTCGTGTGTAATTTATTTATTTATTTTTTTAATTCATCTCTTAATAATATAATTACACTAATTAATTATCCCCCACATAAATTTCCGTGTTTACAAGAATGTAGACACATTTTTTGGGATGGAGAGAATAATAAATAATTGTGTTTCATTTTATAAATATAATACTGACTCTGTCCACATAAAAAGTAAATATTTACTTTTGGCGCGGTGTTTAAGAAATAATAATATTTTAATTATAGTTGGTAGTTAAAAGTAGTGTAATGACATTTTTGCCCTTATTTTTTTGGTAAAAAAGTAATGATGTGATGTAAAGTAATGATATTTGTGGAAAAAAAAAGAGGTATTTAATAAAATATTTAGACGTTCCAAAATATAAATACTTATATTTTTTAGTTGGATAGATGGAGTATAATATTTTTTATAATTTCTTTTTTTCTATAACGAACAGTGAAAAAATATTTATTTTTGTAAGTATGATTAGCAATATATATAAAATAATGCTCAGCCAAACTGCATTTGCGTAGTCCTCAATGGAACTATCTGCAAAGTAACACAAATAAGTTGGCCGGAATATACGAAAAAATAATAATGCACAGCACAAGAATTGAACTACTTCGCATGCCAAACAAACCCCTAATTTTTCAAAGTACGAGAATAATATTCATTTCGTTCTTTGAAAGTATTTTCTTTTTTTTTTTTTATAATGTTTTTTTATTTTATTTATAAATATTTACTTGTTATTATAGTAAAAATAATTATATACTAATTTTTAAAATATTTTTTAATTTTTTAAATAAATTATATACATACCGTTATATATACAATTAATTTATACATCAAGTATAAATGATAAAAATTTTAGAATCATCTTTCACACTCTTACTATCCAATAAAATATTACTCACTTCTATCTACTAAGTAAACAATTACTTTTGGAATTTAGTTTAAAAATTATTATATTTTAATAATAGTTAGTGATAATTTTGATATAGAAAAACAAATATACCCTTTCCTTATTGTGTTTTAAAAATTTCCAAACCAAAATTCAAGGAAAATTAAACAAATTTGATACACATTCATGCTGGAAACTGCATTTTTATGTGAAAGCAATTACATAACATAAATGAACTATAGAAAGTTTACAGCAACTATAAGGTTTTCTGTTTGATGTCTTAAATTGATTTGAAATGAAATGTTAATTTGAGTGTTTGTTTAAATAATTATTTGATTTGATATTTCATGAGAAGAAATTATATACTCCCTTCATCGTATTGAAATGTTGTCATTTTTCATTTTCGTCATTCCCAAAGCAAGGTTATCATTTTCTAATTTAGTAATTGCACTACCTACCTAATATAATAAATATCCTTGTAACTTACACTATATTACACAAATTCCATTACTTTTATATTATAAAATACTAATAAAGGTATTTTTGTCTTTTTCACTGTAACCCAATATAATACTAATATTAAAAAATCTACGTGCAAAAAATAAACGACAATCTTTCTACGGGACGGAGGGAGTATATTTTTTAAAAACGGTCGAATAAATAATGCTGATTTTGATTTCAAATGTTAAAAAAAAAAAAAAAGAAAAAAAAACCAACATAATTAAGCACATCGATATAACAATAATCAAAACATGAGAAAAATAAAAAAATAAGAATTTCAAGTTGCTGTAATTTACAGCAATTAGATAACGAAAAAAGAAAAAACACATACTAAAATTACAGAAACATAAAAATACAAAAAACATATATATATATATATATATATTGTCCAACCGTCATCAACCAAAGAAGATATGCCCGATCATTATTTGGGAAGGAAAAATCGGTATACACTATAAATTTCAGAATCATAAAAATCAGTAAACACTACGATAAATCAGCAGCGTGAGACGTTAAATTCTGCAGGATTTAGCAAAATATTACAATAGAGTTGGTTCGATTCGAACCAAATCAAAATTTAAAATTCGGTTCAAATTGAATATTTGAAAGTTTTTGAATTTTCAAATCGAATTGAATTGGTATACTTAAAAATTCGAATCAATCCGAAATTCAAAATATAACATTTTATTATATTTATAATCATATATTTAATATTTTATTAAAATATTATAATGTAATATAAATAAAAAGCTTAAAATTATTAATTATATTTTAATATATTTAATTTTTATATAATATATATTTAATATTATAAAATATAAAATAATAAAAAACACAATTTTGTTATGTAATAAATATAATACTATAATATATAAATATTGGTGCTGTATATGCATCCACCAAGACAGGGACGTATGTGTGTTTGTTTGGGGATTGGATTTTAATCTCATTATTCATCATTTTTTTTTTCCCTAAAAACATCAAATCAAACATCTATTTTTTATTTTTTATATTATACTAAAAATCAATTTTACATTCAAAACGTCATATCAACACCTATTTATCATACAACTGTTCAAATCTCAATTCAAAATCCAAACCCCCAAACAAACACACTATGTATTTTAGAAACTACGTGTCATAGCACTCCACTTTCGATATATTTATATAAAAGATGTGTTTTGTTAAAACTTTATTAAGACAAAAACTCTATGAAAAAAACCATAGTGGAGGAGAAATAGTACATCATTATTGTATTAATGCGCTCCTCCTTAGTTGAATTTTGTTTGATATCTTTCAGTCGACATATTCTATTTCCTTGCACCAATTTGTTGAATTATGCAGTTGGTAGTGCCTTTGTAAATAAATTTGCAAAGTTTTCAGATGATTGAATTTGTTGCACATTAATTTCACAACTCTTTTGAAGATCGTGAGTGAAAAAGATTGTTGGTGATAGATCATCTTTAATATATCCTTCCTTTAATTGAGCTATACACGTTGTATTATGTTCAAATAATGTTGTATGAGGTAATACATCATCAGAAGTCAAGCAAATCTTCTTAATATTGTGAGTCATAGACCTCAACCAAACATATTTACAATTGGCTTCGTAAATTGCTAAAACCTCAACATAGTTTGAAGAAGTAGTTCTTATCATATGTTTAGCAAATCTCCAAGAGATTGCGATTCTACTAGAAGTAAAGAAGTAGTCAGTTTGAGATTTTTCTTTATGTGGATCAAACAGATAACTAGCATCAGCCCAACCAATTAATTCATTTCGAGATTCACTCGAATAAAATAGAACGATGTCATATATCTCTTGAAGATAACGAAAAATGTGTTTGATACAATTCTAATGACGGTTTGTGAGGGATGCACTAAACCTTGTTAGTAAATTTATTGAGAAAGATATATCTAGCCTGATACATGATAGTCATAAATCGCATGCGTTAGATATTCATATTATTTGCGATATTTGGTTGATTTTGATTAGATTCTACCTGATTTGACTATATATTATTTATTTATGATTTGTAAGAGAAAAATAATAAAATTGATAGAATTAAAGAGAAAAGAGGAAAAAAAAAAGATCCAAAGCCCAATTGTTATGAAATTAGGGCAAATATAAAGGAAAGAAATAAGAGGGAGGTGCGACTTATGCCACTTGCCGAGGAGAACACTGTGCAGAACAATCCCAAGGAGAAACCGTGCAAGGGCAAGAAGGAGAAAGATTCTTCCAAGAAGATTTCGAGTTCTACCCCTACCAACAGCATTCTCAGGCGATGTTTCTCTTTGCTTCATTTGTTCTTCCTCCTATGATTAGTGAGTAGTTTATTTTTCTAGTTTAAGAGTGAAAAACAACTTGGTATGGATTTGAGATATTAGAATTGTTTTGATTTATGATATTTCTTTAGTTCATAAGTATTTATGTGGTTTCTAATTTTTTTGAGTTATAATATCTTATTTGGTTGGGTATTGTGGCCAGGCATTTCAATTGGATTAAGGATTAATTGGTAAAGTAAATTAGGCGTCCGTAATTATGTTTTAATTTGGTTTAAGTAGCAACTAGTGGCAGACACCATTAGGAAATCGCAGAATCAATTTTAAACAATTTCGTATAGGTAATCGTTAAATTGAATTAGTCTCTTCTGGTCCGCAAGGCAGTTAGGCTAGTAAATTCTTTGTGGCGTCACTAGGGTGCTAGTCTAACTAGGGAAGCAGTTGACGGACGTACCTAGACTGTCGAGAAATTAAGGAAGAGTTGGTTATTAGGCGCGTGTCGGTAACTATAACTAATTTATTTAGAAACCAATAAAATTAAATATATATCGGTGACCAAATCCACTACCCAAGTTGTCAATTTCATTCCGAGACTGGAAACTTATTTTTATTGAATTTATCTTTTAGTCGTAGAATTTTTAGTTTGCTATTTTATTTTTATTTCCTACTTCCAAAATCCTCCATTTTATTATATTTATAAATTAAACAATCGAAAATAAAATCTTTTTAATTCCTTGAGGAGACGACCCTACTTCATCTATACTACGTTATTTTTATTGCAGAAGTAGGTTTATTTTATTTAAATTTTGCAGCGTATGAAAAACGCCTGTCAAATTTTGGCGCCGTTGCTGGAGAATTCTAATTGGTTCAATTTATCTTTGGTTGTTTTATATTATTTGTTAAAATCTAACTTTTTCTGGTTTATGTCGAGATTTGATCGCACAAGAAACTTGATTTTTGACCCCGAGATTT